GTTAAAGTGATGAAAATTATATGAGTTCTTGGTGAAGGGATTTACTAATTACATGAGATGAGATAAAGTTGAATTATAATATAACCTTTCTTATATACTCATTAATTGAGGTTTGATGTCTTTCATTTTTTATTGTTCTTCAATTTTCTATATTTTCTTGTTAAATCTGTGTGCAAACGACTACTTAAGAATCCATATTTGTGGTTGTTGTTGAAGTGAAGTGATTTAGACATCTAGCGGTTGAAGATCATCCGAAGCACTCTTAGCGGACATAGATTCTGATTAAACCACTACAAATTGGTAATCCAACATTCTTCCCTTCATCTCTGGTTAGATAAGTTGTAACATTGATAACCCCTGTAATTATTTATTTTTTTCATTGTGATTTGGAATTTACAATTTGCAATTTGAAATCCGTAATTTTAGATTCTGAATTTCAAGTGTGTATTAAATTTTTATTGGGTTGAGTGTAGAGGTCGTCGGACCAATATACAGGGTAGAGCTAATATTGGCCAAACGAGCTGCATCTAATGAACTTGATTTCATACTATATTAGAATTTTATAATTACATAAAATAAACTTGTGTTACTATTATATCGTTGAAGACCTTATTCTTCATCGAGTTATAAATAACTAGTGTTCTAAAATGCACGTATAGGCGCGAGGTGCGGGCAAAACACTGATGGGATTGAAAGGATATGAACCTAGAACAGATATAAAATAAGAGATGATTTCCTTTCGTATTATTCATCGCCAAGAACTGTAGTTCCCAACAATTTACCGCAGTAATTCTCGGTGGATGGGAGAATCTCGACAGATGAACCGTCGAGACCCGAAAGTTCTTCTCAGTTTTTCTTGACACATTACAATTCCACATGTCGAACGTTGGTTCATTCGAGAGTAATATATGCATTTCGCTTTAACATGTACGAAATATTGTACACCACAATTTTTTCATTTGTTTTCGTGCAGTTGTAATATATTTTTTCGTGTGTTCTGATTTTCGTATTACTATTGATATTCATTTTATTTCCTTATATTATATTCGTATTATTTCATTAAATTGTGTTTCGTAATTTGTTGTTGTACCTTGGCATCAACATGTACCACTAACACATGTCACGATCTGACATTTTTTTCATTTTCTTGTTGTACCCTGTAAAAGAGATGTATTTTGAATTCCTGGTTCCGGAAAATTCAAGGTTGCGAGCCTGCATTTCACAGCGAAGCAACCTGAAGTACGTAAAAAGGGTTATGGATCATTTGGATGAATGACAGCGCCATTTGGAAAACATTCATGTATAATCGTCCTGTTAGTTACTTAAATTTCACGTAATGTAAACTTGAGAATTATGTAAGAGTAGTAGGAAAATTGTTATAATGATGTCGAATGTAGGTTTGGGGCCCATGGATCCTTCAACTGTGAGTCTGTGACTGAAACATTTTTATGTGTATGACAAAATGTTACACATGATGTCGAATGTAGGTTTGGGGCCTATGGATCCTTCAACTGTGAGTCTGTGACTGAAACATTTTTATGTGTATGACAAAATGTTACACATGTTATCCATGTTGTCTACAGTTTGGGTACTATTTTGTGGTTGGAATGCGAAGACTTGCAATGAATAAACATGTTCACGAATCGTCATCGAACGCTTCAGTTGATGCATGATTCTTGCGAACTATTGGTGCATCAATTTGTTGAAGTATGTAAAAATCTCATAGGACAATACTACCTCTTAGGATACAAATGTCATAATGAGAATTGATTGCCAACAACTACATGCAGGATTTTTGGAGATAATAGTACGCACTCATTAGTTATACTGTTGTCATAAATTATATACAAATTTTAAATCATAACGGTACAAGTAGACCTTAAACAATCACACCAATTGGTTGTCAAATTAAGTTTGAGATGTGATTTGGTGGTTGTGTAGTAACTCACCATAGTTGCTTCCTTCAAAGAAAATAGCATGGCAGCACTAAATAAGTGAGTTACACTTGAAAACTTCATAAGCTTTGTCACTCTGTATACTACTCAGATACAAAAACAGTTTCATCTATCGCATTTACATGCTACTAATGGCTTCGTTCACAGGAAGCAACAAACCGTTCAACCTGAATGATCCTTCGTCGTACCCGATTTGTCCCCGTTATGTCCCATCATAATTTTTTCAGACGATGAGGATGTCAACCCTCCGAATGGTAGGAGAGCCGTTTTCCCTATTCCTTTTCCCAACCTAGACGAAATTGCAAGTGAAGCATCACATTCACTGAAGATTGTGCTCGATGAAGTGTTCCAGTACATGGTTTGGTACGAAGATGAATCTGATGATGATGAGTGGTTGGCGAACGTTGCACATCCTGAGATAATTGTCATAAACTCTGATGATTCTGATGAAGACAGTGGGGGAGAAAGTTCAAACGTCGACAACGAATGATGTGGGAGGTAGTTGTATATGGTTGTGTACGAATGAATAAGTGTCCAGTTCTTTTGTATTCACTTTTGTCAGGAATGATTTTGATAACAGTCTTTACCAAAGAGTCGACAACAACATGTCCCTTATGCCTCATATGTGTGGTTACAGTTTGTAATATGTACCAACTGTCGAGAACGACAAAAACAATCTGTCGGGAACGACAAATGAACTATCGGGTTGTCATGCAGTATTATGTCATGAATCCGTATTTTTGTTGTGAATGCAAACATGTCTATACTGTCTGCAAACGATAATGGATTTCAAATGATAATGTAAGTTCAAAACGATAATATGCGAACATAACGAACAATAACGTATGTAAATGATAATAAAAAGAAAATGATAACATAACTTTAGATTGTACAACGTCATTGGAGAACATTTAACATACTACTTCAACGACTTCCGGAGATGAAGCCTGTTTACATCTGTTGTGTTACAGCGGGGTGTGAACGTGTTGTCAGGTTATGACCAACTCTACCGCAGCGAGTGCATTTCCTGAGTCGTGTGATAGACTCATGTATGGATCGCTTACGTTGTGTGGGTGGTTTATTCAAGTTCGGGATTTTGAACTTCAATTCAATTTGAGTGTGGGGATCAAGAATACCAAGTTTGTGCTTCAATCGTAGCACGAGTCTAGTAGGGTAATACTTGTCGGCACTAAAATGGAAGTGATTTTGTCCCCTCTCCACTTCCATTCGCCACCCACATGAACAAACTCTCCCCCATACAACACGATAAATCTCAAATGATTACTCATACATGAAATGTTGAGATTGTAATGGTAAGAATTTCTCACAATAAATATGTCTACATTTAATAATATGAATGATGAACTTTTTTATATTGAAATCCATGGAGTAACAGAAGGTGACATCAATGATGTGTCAACAGTTTTCAAGTATCGAATTCAACGATTAAATGGTCTATCCCAACAGTTCATAAATGTCGGGTTCGACAGTTCACATGTCTAAACCGATTGTTTCAACAGAACTATTCGACAGATGAACTATAGGAACTATCGGGAAACTTGAAAACATGTATTTGGTACATTTGAACAAATTATTGAAAACATTAATATTGATAATCAATTCTCAACTACAACATAAAAATATTTTCTCATTAATAAATAACTCAATACTTCATTAAATATGAAATCCTTCATTTTTGTACGAGATATTGGTATTTTTATCCTTCAAAAATAGTTCAAAAACCAAACAGATCAATAAATAATAGTTTCAAAAATTTCTCCAATTGCATTTGACCATTTATATTTAACATCTAAGAAATAGTTGTCCATAAAAATAAAATTATAAACAATTTGTAATAACTAACCTCTCAAAATGGATAATGAATTCAATAGTTATGTGTTCTTGATCATGGAATGAAAAAAATGGAGAAGAAATTATGGTTTGTTGATGGGAAGATGATGTGTGGTTATGTTAATATTTCAAACTCTTTTATATTTTCTTCTTTTTTTTTACAAAATTTATGTTACTCAATATAATATACATATAAACAATTTTTATAATATTTAAATTAAATCATCACATCATAACATTAATTACATTCAAATCAAACATTAAATGCTCCTAAAAATATGTTATTAAGGGTAATTTGGACATTTTGCACAAAAAAATGACACTTTTGCTCATAAAAAGTGAAAATGACATTTTTTTTTTTTTCAAATTCAGTGACATTTTTGAAAATTCTCCATTAATAAAATGTGCAATTGAAAAGTTGATAAAAGTTGTAGACCTATAAAATGTATGATTAGAATTTATTATTGACTTTGACATAAATTTTTATCAAAATTATAATTTAAACCAAACATGAGCTCTATAAAGTGTTACTACCACTTGTGTCGAAAAACCAACTATAACCATGCAACAACTATCACCACTATCAAAACGAAAAAAGAATTTCACCACCACACCGAACCAAAGCAATTAACTATAAGGCAACCACCACGTGACAATTACATCACACAAAAATAACACAATTTTAAAAACTTATATTGGCCAGACGAGAAGGATCGAATACCATGTTAAACGAGACGGTAACTACATATTAATAACGAATTTAACAAATAGACGGTAAAGCGTAAATCTCAAAAACCCTAGACAACATAAAAAATCAAACTACACTGAAGAAATAAGCTTATTAATGAATTGGTTTTAAAATTTCAAATACACAAGGTTAAATACAATTTAAGGAAATGTGCTGCCAAATTGGTCTTGATGTACACATTCTAATTGCAATGTTGTGTATAAGTGTTTTCAGAAGAGTATGATTTCTTGGTATTCTTGTAGAGAATGGAAAATCTACTAGAAAACTACTTATCGTACTGCTATAACACTAAAAATTATCCAGGGACCTGCAAAAAGTGAGAAAAGTTTCCAGCATGAAAAGAGCATTTTCAATCCTGCAGTTCGGTGTATGAACACTTACTGCTTGATGAATTTTTAGGTAAAAAAAAAAAAAAGAAGAAGAAGATTGTCACCTGAATAGATGCGTCAACCAATTAGGTTATGACAAGTACTATCACAAGGATATGCACAGTCAATATCTTTGCCGATGTTTCTCCCGAAGTACCAATCGCCAACAGCTTGTGCAATGGTCTAAAAACAAAGATATCAAGCATTTAGCTCTAACTGAAACTGTATCAAGTATGTTTAAGTATTCGACCAAAATCATTGTTAGATTAAAGGTCTTAAAATGGATTTTTGCGAAAAAGAATGTGTTTCCGATTTAACCGAGTAGAACATTGTTCACGACATTGGGTGATTGATCTAAGTTAGTGTATAGATTCATCCATAACAATTGTATCGAGTAGAGATTTGAAAGAGCAAATAATATACTCCCAAGGAAGAAGATTTAGTTCATAAACCTTATTGTTTACTCTTGGAGAATCGGGTGCAAACCACGTGTCTTGCAACTCACTTTGGCAATGAGCAAAACAAGAATTTATGAACATTCCTCCTCTTCTTGAGCTGATCAAGAAAAATCTCAAAGTTTCAAGCATATATTTCCTGAATCCTGAAGAAAGCCAAACAAACATGTCAGTTAAAGCTGAAAAGAAACCTAGATATCTCTCAAAAACCTGCTATTTCTACAATTAAGCATAAAATTTGGAAAGGGAAAACTGTAATTAGTACTGTTTTTGGTGGATAAATATTGGAAGAGAACAGAATCGAGGAATATAGTACATATAGACAAAAGGAATAATTACAAAGAGGTTAGAACCTTGCAAAGTATATATCTGGACTGCATTACAAGCCACCGGATTAAGCTTGCAGTGATACCAGTGTCCATGAGGATCAGCAGCAGGAGGCACCAGTGCATGATGAAACTGTTGATACATAGGTCTCTATGTTAAATACTGTTTAATAAGCACTACGGTTGTATGTGGTGATTCAAATTCACAAGTAAAGATCAATGAGGAAAACAATCTTACTTGGAACACATCATAGGCAGAGTTCAATATAAAAAATGGTGTTCTAATGTATGGTAATGCATACTGTGGGAAGAAACACTGCAAAAAATTCAGAATTTTTAGATGAAGCCTTAGTTTAATCACGGCTAAATAAACAATAACAGGGAAATCGTACTTGTGCAGGATACAGATTAGAAGTTGTGCAATTTTTGTCAAGGTTCTGTTCCACCCCCTGAGAAGTGAATTGTTCATAGAAGATTAGCAAATATATGTGAAAGACAAAAAGATTGTAGGAACTCCTAGAGGATGTCCTGTTGCTATTTTAATCTCAGTAACCTATGAGCAAGCTACTGTTATGGAGCATATATTAAATTAAAAATTCTGTATGCTGATAGGCACAAGGCATACCTGCAGAGAAACAAGATCCTTGTAGAAATATCTCATTGTGTGATTTAGACCTATGTCTCTTCTGCAAGAAATGCCAAAGTTCATTACAATGACCATTACTCAATGTGAAAATGGGAATTCGATCTAAAATTTTCTGTTCTAATAAGAAAAGAACTTACGCATCCAAAAAGAATCCAGCATCACTTAAACATTTAACACTTGCATTCTTTGGCAAATAATTTGTGAAGTCATCACAGTGCAAAAACGTAGCCAAGCCTCCAGCAGAGCAACCCGAAAGCAAAGCCTGGCATGCATGGGAGGATAAAAATTTATGCAAATTTATAGTAGTTAAATCAAACTATTGAACTTTCTAAAGATGGCTATGATCTTTTCTTAGGTAAATACGAGTGAATCTCCAAGAGCCCAGCACAACTCAGCTGCTAGAGTCATGAGTAGAGAGTAACTAAGGTTCGTAACAAAGTCCATCCACGAAACTAGACAATTTAACTGGACTGGGACATTTTAAGAAATACAACATAGTAATCTGGTACACTTTTCCTCCATCGATCTAGTTTTGGCAGCATAATTGTATTAGAATATGTTGTGCATACTGGGAATAACGTGTGCCTTGACTTGCTCGAGTTTTCATTTAGAAGTCCAAAATTGAAACAATTTCAACAGATCGAAAAATTTGACAACAATCTATTTACCTTCTTTGCTTGGCCCAAACCTTTTGGGAGAAGATCAAGAATAATTGCTTGCCAAATTCTTTGCCCTCTGAAATAAAGCAACGACGTCTGTACATTTCGCAAATGTAAGCTACTTAGTCAATAGTATAATAACTTATAATTCAGTTACAAAATACTTTTCAGCTCAAATAAATAGAGTTTTGATCTGATGCCAGATATGGTTCGTAAAAAAGCCAAAAAGAAAAGAAAACAAAACAAAGAACGATATATATAAAAAGAGCAAAGGGTAAACAAATTTATTTTTCAGAAGTTTTGACATTACAAGTCATCATATTAATTTAATAATACTTCAGCACTTCAATTGTTATCTACAGACTACGAGAGATTCATTCATTTTGAGAGCTGGAAAAAGAAATTACGTTTGCAGCACTAATAAGAGCCTCTTACCATCTAACTGCATATAGTTGATGCAAAATACTATTGATTTTTTTATTAAAAAAAAATAAATTCCAAACATGTAATTTACTTATAAAACCAATAAATAAATTATATATTTTGAAGTTGATTTTTTAAGTTAGCCAAGCATGCTCACAATCAGGATATAACAGGCTGACTTAACCAATAAAGTGATACTAACATGGAAGTGGCATAAAAATTTAGCAACTTACCCCATTATCAAACTTAGCATCACCAGCGAATGAGGCACCATCACAATATCTGAGCTTCACTCGATTCCAGTTGTAAAAATCTGTTCATTTCGTTTAATCAAATAGAAAATACCCTAAAAGTTCTGAAACAAAAATGTTTTGTACTTATGGAAGGGAATATGGAAGTTTTGAAATGAATGGAAAGATAATCTACTTTCATTAANAATATGGAAGTTTTGAAATGAATGGAAAGATAATAACCTTCTTCTAATTATAAGTGTTTTAGCCCAAAAGTTAATTACTAAAGAATAAAGTTTAACTATCACAAGTAACATAAATATGAACATGTTGACAGTGTCTATCTTCTTAGTAATACGAAATAGATTATTGTAGTACAATTGTATAAAAAACTCTTCCAATATGTAATCAAGAGATTATGTTAAGTGGCCTAGTTGAATAACGATAATTTCGTTTAAGCCTATAATTTAAAGGGTAATGCTAGTGATACATCACCACTAACATAAGGGTCTACATAATGAACATCTGACGTTCTTTCATTAGAGGGAGAGTTGGTGGGGTCGGCACACTCTCCAATGAGAGAATGCCGGGTGACCATTATGGACACCTTGATGTATAAGGTGATGTACAACAAGAATTATCCTAATTTAAATAAGGTTACGTAGAATGAAGGAGAAATTTAGATCCCTTTGCTCCAAGGATTCGACAACAAAAGCCACAGAAGGTGACTAGTTTCATCCTACGCTTTTCCACCAACCCCCAACCAAAGAAAACAACAAAAATAAAGGTTGCTCTCTACAGGGCTACTGAAAAATAAACAAACACCTATATTAGATGAGTCCATTATTGGCAATTTTACAAATTCGGTCACTCTGGTCAGTCTGTGAACCCATTTACAGTAATGACAAACATGACAATTATTTTTTATTAGGACGTGTTTGGGAGAGATTTTTAAATTCTACAGTAAATCAATTCTCATTTTTAATCACACATTTTTCAATAAAATAATATTTTCCATCACATCAATAATTTTTTTTTCTTTTTCAACCACACATTTCTCATCATATTACTATTCAAAAATCAATTCTTCCCCCAAAAATCCCTACCAAACACACTCTTAGTCTCGTATTCCATAAATCCAAATATATGCCGGTTTGGAGATGATTAAACTGTTACAGGGAAACACTGAGATAAGTAGGGGATTAACTTCTCATTTTCTACAGTAAATCAATTCTCATTTTCAACCACACATTTTTCAATAAAATAATATTTTCCATCACATCAATACTTTTTTCTTCTTTTTCAACCACACATTTCCCATCATATTACTATTCAAAAATCAATTCTTCCCCCAAAAATTCCTCCCAAACAAGCTCTTAGTAATAATAATATATAATTGCCAATTGGAAACAAGGAAAATGGGCAAACGCTCAATAGTTTGTGAGGAAGTAATTCGACATATTATCAAGGCATTGATGAAAAAATTGAATAGACCACACAACGTGCTCAAGGCATAATTAAGATAAACAAATTTTTAGCTTTTTGATAGAGGAGTAAGACCGGCCAAAAGGACAATTGGGACCTCATCATTAATTGTTGATGCCTGAACAGGGGCGGACCTACATGAGGCCCAGTGGGGGCCGTCGCCCCCACTCAATTTTCAGATTTTTCAATTTTTTTCAGATTTTTTTAGTTTTTTTTGTCAATGTTTTTTTAGGTTTTTAGATTTTTTGGTTTCGCCCCCACTGAACTTCTTTTCTGGATCCGCTCCTGTACCTGAATGTAATAAGAAACAAGGACAGCGAGCATTGTCCTTCCGAGAAATCTCACTAAAATATAAAATTCACACTGGAAAAATTTAACATACTAACTGGGAGAAAGCTGGAATTGAAAGATTTTGTAGCAGTAGTAGCTGTAGGTTTTTGGCGCTAGTTATAATCTACTACCATTATTCATCACGTGATAGACTACCAGAAATTACCAGGTAATGTGATGAACATGAACTTTGTCGCATAATTACAATACACTATCAGAATACAGCCTTGAAAGATGCTACTAGGCTCTAGCACAAGGTGGTGGAGGCCAAGAAAATCACGCCTGTTAGGTAGTTCGGTAGTTCAAAGACAAACTAAACAATATTTTTTATCTTTTTTTTTATTCAGTAATCAAGAGAGCAAAAACAAATTAGAGATCTCGTTTCGCACAAAAATAATTTTCTTATAAGTTGAGGGCTCACAAATTGTGTTGATCAAAATTTACATAGCTATGGGTGACACATGACCTAGAGTGGTGGAGTCTACACGACCGTGAGTCTATCCACTTATGGCGAAGTTATTTTTTGTCAAACATGTCGGTTATAGTTAATATGTGATTTTATATATCTTTATTCATGAAAGTTTATCCTTTGAATACAAGATGCATACCAGGGTTTAGAGAGGCAGTATTGCTTAAAATGCCAGAAAAGACTTCCACCTTACTCATGTAACGTGTTGATCCTCGACGAGTTTGGGCTCTATCCAAGCATGATTTAATATCGTTGCACCAACCTCCACCCTATTATGATCATGATTAACAAATAGTTAATTCACGGTAAGTATACATGGGTCATAACTACCTACAGACCAGCTGCATCAATCATTGAGTTAGTAATTAGTACTATAAATTTATAGAAAGATTCTATAAATTGGCTTATGCAAATGAAGAGCTTGGCACTGTAGTTTGCAAGTCCATTTTAAAGAAAAATAAAAATTTGAAACAATAACATGTCTGTCCAAATCTTGGGTACCAGAGAAATATGGCCTGTCGGACCAGTCCTTTAACTGGGTAGTTTTGACTTTCAATTGTCTCGACGGCTGAGTTGAGTTGATACTATTTGGTTAACATCACTATCTTGGTTACCTACTCACTACATGTGATTTTCTTACCCAACAGCCATTCGATTTCTCTGCAGACCCAATGTGAATAATGTAAGTATTGAATTTCGTAAAAAGCCAAATCTGTTAGAAATTAGGATGGGCCCCCAGACGTGACAGCCAAGAGACTCACTTTTCAGCCGCCACCCTCTTATTCTCGTTTTAATTGTAAAAGCGTGTTGAATTTAAAGGCGATGGACATAAAATTCGCCATGAATAGGAAATATTGAAGCATGGCCTCTAAAAAATATTGCTAGTGGATAAGAATAACCTGAAAAATCAACAAAAAGATAAGGAGAAAAAGAAATCAAGAGGTCGATTGATAAAGGCTTGTCCCTTGAAAATATAGAGCATTATTGGATGCTCAATTTGTGGCTTCCAAAGAAACTTGTTTCATAATCTGCCATTTTCCGTTATTATTTGATGGTAACTTTGTTACTGATCTGGTTTGTTCTCTTTTAATTTTGTTAATCCGAGTATCCGATTCCATTATGCGTATTTTTATCCAAAAATTGGAGGATGTAGGGATTAACAAAATTTAGCCCATGAACCATATTTTCTAAAAACTCATTTTTTCTCGAATTTATTTTCAATCAGACATTCTTCTAATAAAATATTTTTGCACTTAAATCGAAAAAGTTTCTTACTTTTTAACTATTCATTCTCCAAAAAATTCACTATTACACAATTCATTTTCACAAAAAAATGAGCTCAAAACTTTACCAATCATGCATTGAGGGTAGTCATGACGGAGGCGATAGATACAGTCCAGAATTATTTGCATATCATTCACACTGGAAAAATATATAAAATAAAAAAAATTGCAATATCAGTCTGTAACTATTGATTCAATGCCTAAAAATTTGAAATGAGATACTTATTACTTCATAAGAGTAGTTTAAAGAAGATTCGAACGGTTGGTTGCGAACTGATTGTACAAATATAGTAAAATGTTAATTATCAAAAGATTTAAGACCAACTTGTCGTTAGTGGGAATAAGTTGGAGGCCAATAGTGCAACTTGCCCATTCATTTTCAAAGCATAATTTCAAAATTGGATAGAAAAGAAAGAAAAAGTAGGGGTGGAATGGGTGGAGTCATTGGCGAGCTCATCTCGACTCGATCCAATTTGGTCCATGGATGACTTGGGTTCGTTTTACAACGAGTCAAGAGTCGAGCGAGCATCTTTTTTTACGAATTTATTCATTTTTGACTTATTTTATTAATTTATTCAAAAAACAAGCCGACTCTTCTCGGTCTCTGATGCGCACAAGTCAAAGAGTCAAACCTACTTAATTTGTGGACATGAGCCGAGCACGGATGTCTAAGGACCGAGTGACTCCGAGCAAGGCTCGTCTCAATCCATTCACCAGCCAAGAAAAAGAGAAGGGCTGAGTAAATAAGAATTAAACTAAATGTACGTCATTGTTGACAACAAGGATGACATCCTTCCCTACGTGAAGGAAATCTGTGCAGTGATGTGATGGACGAGTTAAAAATTAAGAATGTAGATCTTGCCACGTGAAAAATTATAAATAAAGGTGTAAAAAAAGTGTACGTATAACATGATTGGAGTAAATAATTGTGTAGTAGATCTAGATATACAGCGCAAATGCAAGACTTCCTGACAATGCACAATATGGATTGCGTGGAACTCTTTCTCCTTTTTGCCCACAAAGAGTGAAAAAAAAAAAAGAGCAAAGCTGCAGTTACAGAAATTTTATTTATTTCTGTAAAAATATCAAAATAGATAGCTCATCTCGACTCGATCCAATTTCGTCCATGGATGACTCGGGTTCGTTTTACAACGAGTCAAGAGTCGAGTGAGTATCTTTTTTTTACGAGTTTATATAGGTATGGTTAAATTATGGGTGTTTATAATATTTTATTCACATGGGGTCCACCCCCATGTGAGTAATCTCTCATGTACAAGTGAAATTTTTGGAAAAAAAATACTCTAAACAGCAAAAAGCAGGTTGTGTGCATGTTGTTATTGAATGCATAATCATTTTGCCCCCATCAAATGCACAAAAAATTACCTCAAACTGTAAAAGCCAGTTGCGTGCCCCCGCGCCAAATCCTCTGTCCAGATGGTATGCCGGCAAACTGCCGTCCAAACAATCTGCACAGTAAATTTTTTTCTCAAAAAAAATTAATAAAAGAAAAATTTTCTCATAAAAATAAATAAAACTTTCAAATAAAATATTGAGAGAATAAAATTCTCATAGAAGAGTTCGCAATGGCTTTACATACAGGCGCCGAGAGACGAAGCATTTTGAACCAGATTCATCTTCACCAAATGGCTCTCCTCCGAGTAAATGCACCGCGGAGCGCATGTTAGCAACACCAGCAAGCTTAATACAACTGTATTTGAATCCATGTTCAGTTATGAAATGGCTCTGCTATTGAATGTATATGAAACAATTCAAATGGAGATCTATAAATCACAATGAGCTATTATTTGAATGAAAATAAATAATGAATATGCACTGGAAGGACCGGAAGCCTATATCAGGAAATTGTTTTATTTCGGTGTAATTAATAATGAATTTTCATCTAAATGTGAATGAAAAAACTGAATATATCTCTGGAAATTCTTTAATTATGTGTATTTTAAGTGAGATTAGAGAACCCAATAACGAATTTTCATGGAAACGTAATGAAATTCTGTATAGTGACCGAAAAATTCAATGTGTTATTGGAGTGAATTGAATTTCAGAAAAAAAAAGTGAATTAATAGGAGATGGAGACGGGAGAAGAAAGGGAAACTGGAAAGAGAGGGAAAGAAGAGGGAAACTTGGACGAAAAGTATTAATGGCGGAATTTGGCTTTATATCGAAAGCGGGCGGATTCCCGAGAGTGGAATGTCTATTTATTGAGAACTGGGACGACGTAATGGACCAATTGCATATGAATTTTGGGGCCCATTTATTTGGCGTAAGAGAGTGGGAAAATTTATTGGTCCTCAATTTATTGTTCGACTGCGTCTTTAACTTTTAAAAATGACCAAGTACATCACTCAGCTTTTTATCATAGTTG